GTGCTGGAATATCTCACAAATTACACGAGTCCTTCCAATTCAAAGCTCCAATCATTTCAAAAGTGCTGATATAGTGTTTTTTTATTCTTCTGTTAATAACTATGAATAACATGGTCTCTGCAATTGTTTGTGTGCTATAAATGAGCACTTACATAGAAAAAGGTACAGCTTTAAGGGAAAAAAAAAGAAAATATCTTTAGTTGATATGGATTGTATGTTGACACAAATTTTTCACTATCTTTCTGAGTTGGTGAATATTATTGTATGCAGTAGGAGTTCCAACATACTGTTCAGAATTTGCATGCACAAACAGGTTAGAGTCTTCAGAGTGTGTGCTGTTGACAATTCTCCATAAAATTAAATATGGTTTCCCTAAAGTTAGTTATTAGACTCTCAGTTGTTATTCTTCATTTTGATGTAGTAATCTACTTCTTCAATATCTTTGTGACAGATAGTCCACCAAAAATGTAACCTATTACGGGTAGAAGTTTGAGCTTTCTCAGCTTCAGAATTTGGGAGGCAGGTCCCAGACACTTGGCAGACCTTGTCAGCTCACCTCCCAGCTTGGCTCTGTGACTTACAACCTGTCTGCAGTGTTATATAAATGTTCTCTTACATGACAGCAGATACACTGTGTGATTCTGTAACCTCTTTACCTTCCTTATAAACACAATGTTGTGAGCTCCTTCAGTGTCACAGTGAAAAAAACTTGGTTTTTTTTCTAGAGCAGGAACTAATTCTTGATGCAGTTTACTGGGCAAGCTAGTCTATTTTTCAGGGCTTCCAGAGCCCAGCCAGTGTTACTGGATGCAATGTGCAAGGACTCACTCCCATGGAACACAGGTACAGCACCCTGGCGTGAGAGGCTTGGGGGAGTCTGTGCGTGGGGAAGGAGAGAGGAGCACCCACAGCAGTGCTGGTGGGAAGTCTCTGGCAAGTACAGAGTAGCTTTCCAAGCCCTTTAATCAGTTTTTCTGGAAGGCAAACATAATGCCCCAGAAGACCAAACTCAAATACAGATTGATGAAAATTATGGCACATTAAAATCTACTGGAGATACCCAGCTTCAAGTTCTTCTCCCTAGAGTGGCTGTGCTGACAGATGCTGTGAGAATACACACATAGGATTTCTTCTCATATACTTAAATTAGGCAAAGATTAGAAAACAACAAAAATACTTAAAAGCAACACCAAAGCTGATTAAAATGAAGCACAAAGGCATTTTATGAATAATGCATCATCTTAATACTATTAGGTAAACAGATGAGAATTAAAATCTATCCCCCCTCACAGGAAAGCATGAGTGTGACCTCTACAACTGCTGTTCTCACAATCCTGACATAGCTGTCACACATTGCTGGAATTGCCTCAGTTCTTAGCCTAAATACAACACAAGCAGCTCAGAACTGTGAATGCAACCCTTGAGAATTACACATTTCATTGTGAAGGTTTACAGGTTGATATTGCAAATCTCCACATTATTTCTCAGTTCTATTTTTCTTTTTATAAGCCCTTAAAGCCAAGCCATGCAATCATGTAACACTGGTGCCAGAGTAATTCCAGAGATGTTGGTGGATCTTGGCTGATTTACAGAAGCCAAGGATCTGTTGCTGTATGTCAAATAGGCAAAATGTTGGAGCACCCAAACTTGCAACCAGCGAGTTCCTTGGGGAAGCACCAGGGGGCTGTTATACAGTGAGGCTAGAAAATATGTAAGTACAGACTGAAGAATGGAGAGAAAACTCCTTGCATGTACCTAATAATCTTTATAAACTGTTAAGGTAGTCAGCTAAACTGCAGTGAAAACATTTGTTCAAGTTATCAGCCTTCATTATAATTGGGGTAGGCTTTTTGGGGGATTTATTTGTGTGTGTGTTTGTTTGTTTTAGCAAACAAGGGAACTGAGTTAATACAAAGGAGTAAATTTCTTTCATGCCTTGAACTTGCATCCTAACAGATCTAACAGGCAGCTGCTTCCCAAAATAAAAATAAGAGTTTGAATATCATAGGGTTTTAAGATTAAGTTTTGTTTAGTACCCTGAATTTTGACTGCAGAAGAAAGAATTGGGCCCACTGGGAGGAAATGCTCACATTTTGTAGCAAATGCGCCCTTAATTTTCTGTATAAACCTTTCTTCTGCACCATGGTGATACATAATAGTCTTTCCATTTACACTGAAGGAAAATCCTCCCATTTGACTGTTTCCCTGTACTTTAATTAAATGCAGAGAGACAATCTAAAAGATTTGATGGAGTTAGAGAAAATGGAGAAAGTCATTGAACACTGTAGAAACTAAATTTCTTCAAGGCTTTTTCTGTACTTTACTACTGGTGATTAACTGCATTGTATTAGAAGAGTCAGATTCTGAAATGGAGTATGCAGCAGCATTCCCACTTAAATCACATGTATTTCCTCATCTCTTGTCTGACATATATGCCCCCCTTTCATGGAACTGTGTAATTATAGCTACATTCAGGTGGCCCAAGCTACACATGCATCCCCTGGTCTAGTATTCTACCTTGGTTTAAATTTGCATTTACTGCATTTCTCTTTGGTTTTTTGTTTGTCTGGTTTGGTTTTCACCTAGCAAATGGGTAATATCAGACACATGAACACAAGCAGAATTTAGGCTCTCAAGAGCTTCTCTGTATGTAGAGTTTTGGAGCATACTATTCTACAAGTTTTAACAAATACATATCAAGTTTGAATAGATCAGTAACAGATTAAGCCTTTATGTCAAAAAAGTGAGCGAATGCTCTTTTTTACACTTGAATCTAACCCAAGGAAACCTCAGTAAGACCACACAATTTGGTTTGGCACATTACAGAGGCTTCAGACCTTGCAAGTATGCAGCAGCTAGAAACCAGTTCCTTCCTATATCCCCCTGAAAATTCTTCCTGTTGCAATTTTCTTCCTTGCACTGAATAGCTCTGTAATACTAAGATGATTGCAGTTGCCCTGACACTTCACTCACAAATAGAAAATACCCTTCAATTCTGCTCACTTTTGTTCTGGTGATATATATTACTGTGATACTGGGAATAAGGTTCATGCCTCTTGCAAATCACAACATTCTTACCATAGAGGTGCTCATAGCTGCATTGCTAATTTTCATGCTATAGGTTTGCATAATTGTAGGTAGAAGACTTTAAAGGGAACAATAATAATAAATCTAAGACAGATGTGAATTAATTGGGTTATTATATGCATTAATAATAAAAAATGCATGACATAACTTTGTAACACCATTAGAATGTGTTTTGCCTCTGTTTTAGATTCCTAAAAAACTGTATTGGGTGTTTCTCTGCTTGCACATGTGAGCATGAGGAAAGAAAACATGACAGGGAGCCAGACATTTCTGCACTGCAGTTTGTGCTGTGGGCTACAGCTTCTATCCCTAGCTACCAAAATGCAGCTAGAATGAAAGTAACCCTTCATTAGTGCTCCAGTTTTCTCTACAGAATACTTATGCATATTTCAGATATGGCTTTAATTATTGAGTATGTAGGGGCATAACTAATAGCAGTTTGTAATTTGGTGATTCTTGTGATGCCAAACTAATATGCTTCAGATGGAAACTGGAACGCAAGCTGTTCAGTTCAGTAGTTATTGGGTGCTGAATCTGATTAAAGGAAAATATTAATATTTCCCTCCTGCTGGTTTTCTCTTTTATTTACTCATAACAAATATTTGAATGAGCTATCTTAGTGACTCTGTGTTCTAGTTTTTCTTTCCATTTGCCAAGGCAGTATGAAAATAAAAGTTAGTAATTTGAGTTTTCCAAAGGGTTGGTGGGTTCTCCTTCAGTGTCTATTGCCTTAAAGCTTTTTCAGGTTTTTATGACCTTTCCAGTTTACAAGTACCAGCAGCTATATCTGACTGGGTATTAAAATGGCAAAGGAATTGAAACAGTGTATTAAGCCATAAGAAACACTGAATCCGTTTGCCAATATGTGTGTGCCTATGTTTGTGCATGTTTGCACATTTGTGTGAGGTAAGGATGGGGCAGCTTACCTTGCTGTCTTACAGCTTACTACAGAAATGTTTTGAATTTGAGGTTTTATAGATAAAACTTGGGACAAATCCTTAATTAACCACAGCAAAAGTAAGAATAAACTGAATCCCTAACATACACTTGGCAGAACTGAGACAAATTAAACTGCTTCTATTATGGGAGTGAGCTCAGTATTTCTGAAATTGTGTCCAAAACTACCTAGTTCACATTTTCCAAGCACTTTGAAAATTCTCAATGTGAACTAAATGAAAAAAAATAGCATAACATCTCTTTATTGATATGCTAAAAATCAAATGGGAACATAAAATGTTTTCTCTCTTAAAGGGAGTGAAGATACTGCTCAGTGTCAAATTATTAACAGATGTTTAAGATAGCAAATGTTCTCATTAATGAGCATAATTCCTTTTGAAGAATATTTGACTCTCTTTCTACATTTTCCTTAGACCAACATTAAACCCTCATTATGTGGTACAAGAACTGCAAGCACAAAGAAATAAACAATGAGTAGTGAAGAAGAGAATCAATACCTGTATTATTTTCCTGATAACACTTGAGCTGTGCTGCCCTATAAAACTGATTCTGTAAAGAGGATGGGGACATCTATCTCTCCTTCCAGTATGTCAACCAATAGGCATATAAAAATAATGTCTTTCTCTGGTTTACTTAAACATTCAAAGCCATTAAACTGAGAAGTTAGGCCAGCTGGAAAGTCTGTACTCAGGCTTGTGAGGAAAGATGGAGAAAGAAACAACTTGTCAGCATGGGAAATCTGTTGTAGACGACCTATCAAACTGCAGAAAGATCTATTTAATAAAACAAATAAGGCAGCAAGGACTTAACATTCCTCCTGCTAAAATCTTTCTTTATCTCAGCCTATATTTGAAATGTAAGCTTGTGCAGCATCCTTTATTTAGAATAGAGCAGGGTATGTCAGGAATGTCAAATGCTATATCAAGGTGATAGAAAACATAAGTTATTTTGAAGATACAGCAGAGGAGAGGGTGAAGACGTTGCTATGGTTTGGAGGAGCACACGATCAGGAAGAATTTTTTTCCTCTTTCTAAAGTAGCACTGTGCTGTCACTAGCACATTTTATTATTTCTTTCCCTTTTTCATCATCTCTGGGGAAAAACAGCTTTAAAGCCAGAATGATGCTGGGGACCAGCCAGCTGGTGGTTGAGTTTGAAGTGGTGCTTATCCATAGCAGAAGCACAGAAGAAAGAAAATCTGTAGCAGAAGGTCTGTATCATTTAGTGCAGACCCAACTGTACCCTCTTTTTGCTCTGCAACAGCATTTGTGCTCTTCTGTCCAGTGCTACTTCCCAAGCAGTAGCACTCACCAGCAGCACCCATGAGCAGTCAGCATCTGTTTGGAAAGAAGCTCTCCAAAGTAAAGATGGTCTTTATTTTATCCATTCCAGCTGAAATAGAACTTGGTTTTGTGCATGACTATCCCTCTTCTATAACAGTAATGCCTAAAAGAAAAAAACTTTCTTAAATTATTCTTAGTTGGGCTTAATCCTTTTTTAGTTGAGATTCCCATGTCAAGTAGATAGACTTTAGGCAGCTGCAAACTGTAAATAATATAAGAAAAAGCAAGACTACTATTTTAAAACTGTGACAGAGGACTTTTGAGGAAGTCTGGACAAAATAATATCTTTTAAAATTATTTCAATTATGCAAAACAATCATCTGATCTCTTTAAATAGCAGGGAAGAATTCACAAAATAAATTATCTCCTGCTGTTATCACACAAAAAAAGGGAGTCGTCCTGCTTTAACAAACTGATAGTTACACAAAGACTTATAACTCCTATTTCAAATCAGAAAAAAATCTACATTTTTCTTTACTTAAAGGAAAGGTCTGCTACAATAGAAAGTCTCTGAAACAAAGTGGTGTTTGCAAAGAAAACAAAGATATCTACATTTTCAGTGAAAATCATCCAGACCTGGCATATGTGAATCCTATTGTGTAATGTAAAATTGACTTTGCATAATGGATCTTTTTTTCTTTTTTTTTCTGATATGAGAGCTTCTGACTGGTGTGGAACTCAATGGTATGCAAATTACTGCTACCAAGGACTGGGCCAGCAGCTATAATTTGGCAGAAAAAGATTTACAATTGCTGGCTCTGTGGGACTTGCAAGACATTTAAGGAAATGAGTTGAGAATTATTCTGTTTCTGTTGGCATACAGGGATGAAAAGCACAGAAGTAAGAACCATGTTTCTGTTTTGCTGGATTCTGAACTGAAAGTGCATGAAAAGTGATTAATTAACAATTTTTGCTAACTACTGAATTTGCAGCTGCAAAAACAACCATCCAAATCCTTCCTGAATAATTTTTAATGAATAGCTATTGTTTGTGATCATTATAGATAATTTCTAAACATTATGGAGAGGATTTGCCAAAAAAACAAACAAAAATTAAGCATAAGCATCTTAGGCAAATCTTTCACATAGTTTTGAATAATGCAGTAAAGTATAATGTAACAGCATTAGCAAAATAAGCTCAGAGAACTAAGCATCAGTCATGCAATAGTGTAAATTTAGATTCCATTAACCTTACTGTCTCATGGTTGAAAAGAGACACAAACCAGCTGGAGGAAGTTCAGAGAACAGCAGTGAGACTGACCAGAAGTCCAGAAAATTTGACCTGCGAGGAAAAATTGAATTACCTAAAGAAGAATAGGTAATGAGGCTTATAGAGCCAATAGGCAAATGTAATACGGCAGCAAAGATTTAGGAAAATCACTGTGAGAATAAAATTCATGCATAAGAATAGAGACTCAACCAGCCAGCTGTCTGAAGAGTGGCTGGAGAGCTATCTCAGGGATGATATGTGTGCATTGGGAGAGCTGAAAATACCCAAGGCTCCTTCTTACTAAATGGCTCCTCAGGGGAGTAAACTCGTGGTTTAAGTGTCCAATCCCAAATAAACCAAGGAAAGGTATCAACACCTCCTAAAGGCATCAAAACATACACAGAACCATGAAGGAGTGACTCATAACTTGTTGATGCCTCTCTTTTCCCCTCTCTCTCAAGACCTGTGCTGCAAACACTATCATGGTTCTTGGAGAGATAGAGTTTGCTCTTATGGCTACACTTCTCTTATTGTTGACTACAAGAGAATTTGTCTTCATTTTCACATTTGCAGCACTGTGTTCACATTCCTACAGGTTTTCTCAGGTGGAACAATGAGCAGAGATTATCCATGGGGAATACGGAAGTGACAAGAGCTGCAAGGAGCACCACTTTCATTGATCACCACAGAAAATTCTATTTTTTATGAGGTTGTAATAACCTATAAACATGCCAACTGGCTAATGTATTGAAAAGTTACATATTTGCTGTGTTGAGATGAAATTCAGAATCATCCTTCCTTTTTTGTGCACTGCACACTGCCAGAGTTATTCACACTGCAATTATTCTGGAGTTATTTAGTTGAAGAATATCCCAAAGCAGGTTCTGTACCAAATTTTCTAGCACTGCTCATGTTTGGTCATTGACATCTGTATCAATTACATCTGGTCATGTCTGTGTAAAAAAGCAAAACAATGTTTCATTTTTATTTCAATAAATTATGAATCTGGGTATCATTTTATGAGTTCAGTGGTTTATCTCAGCTCTAGTTTATTTCTCTCTGTCACATCCAAAATCCATTTTCCTGAACAGGTGATGTAGAGCTTTTACAATATCAAAAATCTATCTTCAGCTTACTAAAAATTATTTTAATGATCAGCGAACCTTGCAATGTTTTAATTTTCAAAGCCTCACTGAATTTTAACTTGAACATTTTCTCATTAAATTCTTCAGTACTTGTCTTGACTTTCAGGAAAATATCTAGAACAGCTATTTGAATACCCAGTATTAAGATACATCCTTTTTCAGGATGAGCAGAAGAAAAAAATTGTGATGACTGGATAAACATGATTAGGAAGTGGTCAAAAGTAGTTTGACATGACACTTTTTTAGTGAAAATAGGCCAAGAATAGGTGCTTGTTGCTACTTGCTTTTCAATCCTCTTCTAGCAGCTGAGTAGAATGATGTGTTGATATTATTGTTTTTTAGGGGAACTTGAATTAAATTACCTTTGCTTCAGCTTGGAAATGTCTTATGGCCCCAGTTTCATTGTTCTCTGGTAGTGATACAGAAGTCTTGTAGCCTGCCATATAAAATCTTGTGCAGCACAGAGTTTTCCCCAGACAAAGGGCATGGTTGACATGCAATGTCTATTTAGGGTATAAAAACAGATATTAAGGATATAGTTTAAGTTTATTCACACAGAGGAGGAAGGCATGAGAAAAAACTTGCTTCCTAAAACTCTAGCAGGAAGTCATGAAGGAAGAAAGGATTATAAACTGATGAGAGGCATTATTTTGTACAAGGAGGAGGAGTATTGTGTGAGAACAGTGGGATAGCTCCAGCTGTAGATCTCAGCACACTGGGAGCACGGCAGAGTAGAGCAGCTCTGCTGGCAGCACAAACCACACACAAGTGCTCCAGCACAGTGCACTGGAGGGTTTCCTGAAACACGACAATCTCAGAGCAGCACAAAGACCTACCAGGAGCCTGAAGATCACATCACAGTGACTGACAAGATGAGGACAGGGTGAGGAGGAACACTGGGCCTTCCCCGCATCTCTACCATTTGCTTTTAATATCTTTTTTGCTACAAAATATTTTTCAATGGATTCCCTAAAGATACTGCTTTAGTTTTCTGGATATTTTTCACCAATTTGAGGTAGAATTTTGTAGAGAAGGCTGTACTCCAGGACGGCTTTGATGAATGGAGACCAGAGATCTCCAAAGGCTGCTCTTAGAATATATGGTTTATTATGGATGGTGAAAGGTCTTGCTTGGAGCTGCCAGACACAGCACGTGGCAAGGCCTGAGGGGATGGGGGAGGGGAGAGACAAGGGGTAGAGAGGATGCTCCAGGAGAGGGTGGAAGTTCCAAGAGAGCGGGGATTCCAAGAGAGTGGGGGTTCCAAGAGAGGGGAAGATCCAAGAGGGCATCTGGCCCCTCGGAGACCCCTTATCAGGGGGCTTCAAGGTGGGCTGGAACAAGACTTAGGCCAATGGGGTCACAGACACCTGATGTTTCAGGGGAGGGTTACGGGTGTGGGATGAACCATACATTTTGGGGGTTGAGATAGAACAGTCCATTTGACTTTTGGACCTATCTGTAGGTAAGGGTATTGTCCAGCCAGCAGGGGGAATTGTTTTCATCCTGGCTGTACTATTGTGAATCTTTTGCCACGCAATCATATTTATCCATCCTTTCCAACAGAATTTTTCAGTTAATATAATATTTTATGAAATTATATTAATCCATTCTGAAAAATTTAATTATCTTTTCCATATTATCTGCATTTGCAGTAGGAGAGAGTAGCAGGACTCTTTACCCTTGGAACATGGGCAAACAACTCCAACAATGCCCTATTTTGGGAGCCATCAGCAGTGGGCTGAGAGGGGGCTGCCATGTGCTGCTTTAGTTGTTGGATTTTGCTGAAATCAATCTGGCTCATCAGCCCCAAATTAACATCCTGATAGTGAGGCAAAGGCTTGGCACAAAAGCTGCCATGCTGACCTGGAGACGTATGACTGGCAGTCAGTCACTTGACACTGTCAAAGTCCAGTCAAATTTTTTTCACTCTAGGTTCCTCTAACGTATTCCCTCTTAGAATGTGAGCAATGATGTTCCCTCCCTTGAAGTGGGGATATCTCCCAAGGACACTCCTCAAGGTTGAGTGAACGAAATCTGCCCACGAGATTTTGCGTGGTGAATTACATCGATCTCTACTTAACAATTGTTCCTTTTTGCTAGCTTTAATAAAAGTGCTTTAATATATTTGCTTTTATATAGTGGACTATACTGTATTATACACTACTAGTAGTTTTAGCTTACATACTGGGTACCAAATAATTCTTATTAAGATATTTTGCTTAATAATTTTCATAATAAATAATTAATCTTATATATATATCTGATTTGCCATCTTTAATTCTGTGTGACAAAGTTGCTTAATCTGTTGACAAAGACTGTACCTACGATTGGATCCAGCTGTCCCCAAGTTCCTCTCTGAGGAGCTTAGAAAGCAAGGAAGAACTTTCTGCACCTCATGACTCCATGGCAAGGCTCTTCTAATAAACTTTGGATGTCTCACTTTATCCGTGACAATGAGCTTATAAAGAACTGTATTAAATTAGTCAAATAACAAGTTAAGAAAACTCTTACCTTGACAAACAGAAGCTAACTTTCATACAAACAAGAGCTTCTATTTCATGTGCAGAATTCCAGCTTTATGCCAAGAGAAGGTTTGAAGAGAGTAATTTGCACATTAGTTGAATTTGTGTGTTCCCCCCAAACTATCATCCACACAGTATTTAC